GCAAGCTGTCTGTAGCATGATTAATAAAAACTCAGAGACCGATATTGGGGTTCAAACTGAAAAGCAAAACAAGCAGTTACTGGCTCTTATTAATTACTACCTCAGTCTGAAATGGCAGTCCTGCCTCCAGGAATCTCAGAATGAGACTGTGCCTGAGAGCTGTCTCCTCCTATCTTAAATTCCTCTCTAGGGCTGGGATTAACGGCCTGCGCCACTACCACCTGATTCCTATGGCAAACTAGCATTTCAACTGGGATTAAAGGTGTGTGTCACCACTGCCTGGTCTGTAAGGCTGACCAGTAGGACTGTTTTACTCTTTAATCTTCAGACATGCTTTATTTATTAAAATACAAATGAAATATCACAACAACCATCAACGCTGACAATTACTATAATCAAAAATTCTTCCAAGTACTGATATCCTATTTTGATGTACAAGGTTCATTAGGTCAGTGGCTTGTGATAGAATAGATCTATTAAATCTGACATTGAATACATTAAATTTGTGAATGAGTACTTGCTAAATAGCATAATTACAGCTATGATCTGAAGCCAAGAAATATGCTATCGACTTCTTCCTGGTAAGTCTTAACTGGGAAGGAAAGCTTTGTATAAAATCACCTTGAAATGGAGAAAGTGCTAAAAGGAAAAAATGCCATGTGGCAAAAATTTTTCATCAGATGGAATGGGTATGTAATCATGGCAAGCTGCCCATCCAACTAACACATTGGAAACCATAGAATGGGCCAGCTGATATCCGTGGGACTTCTAGAATTCTGGCAGCAACAGGGCCCTGAGGTCACCTTATAGCTAGGTTGCTAAGGCAACCTACTTATTTAGAATGGGTGTCTGAAAGAGGTGAAATTCTCAGTTCTTATTCCAAGATAGAGGGTGCAGAATTCCCTAAACAAAGATGTAACCTGCAAAAATGTCACCTGCTAACAGACAGATACTTGTCAAGACTTTCTTCAAGAAATAAATTTTGTCCTTAAACAGCCCAAACCAAAATAGTTGCAATTATTTATGCTCTTGAGATGCAAGAATTATCAAATTAGAATAGAACACCTGCCCCCAATTTCCAAATAAATAAATAAATAAGGCTCATTGGTCATTCATTACTGCTTGTTGCAGAGGGTTGCTCCTTCGTTCTGACCACCCAGAACCGAAATAATCACACAGAAATTGTATTAATTAAAACACTGCTTGGCCTATTATTTTTAGCTTGTTATTGGCTCTTATATTAATTTAACCCGTTTCTATTAATGTGTACATCGTCACGTGGCAGTGGCTTAGCAGAAAAAGATTCCAACCAGTGTTTGTCTCAGGCTGAGGATCCATGGTGTCTCCCCCTGGCTTTCAGTCCAGTTTTCCCCACCTACCTAAGTTCTACCCTATCAGGCCAAGGCAGTTTTTTATATTCATTAACCAATAAAAACAACACACAGACAGAAGGACCTCCCACACCAACTGCTTATTCTCATGGGCAAAAACATTTAGGTGCTAGTTCAATCATGGGGTTTTATTTCATTTCCTCAAAAGATTTTCACCTTTCATTTTAGATAAACCTTTTTTTACATATATATTTTCTCATAGAAGTGATTTTCTAGCTCCCAGCAGTCATTTTCCTTGCTCATGTATGTCTGTGGTCATTTGATCTGTTAATGTTATAACAGCTGAAGGAGAGGATGCTATTTAAATAGGTATATCTATCATCTTATTTGGTATCGCTTGTTCTGCAATAACAATGCATGCTTTCTGGCTCATATTTAGCTCAATTATTAAATTAAAGTAACTATAGTAATACAAAATGAACATTGAAATGCCTACATACATATGGATTTCTATGAATATTTTAAGGATTCATTTGCTATCATGATGACTACCAAGGTGTGAGCAATAAAATGACCTAAATGTAAGCATGCACATGTATACTGCTCAATATATTAGAAACATCATGAAATATTAATATTGGCAAATATTTGTATTCAATGAAACATTTTAACACTTTGATCAGATATACTAATATATATTTGATTAGTCAGATTCATTAATTTAATTGATTATCAGAATCATGTGAGACCTTTACATCTGTAAGAATTTGCCATGCTCTCCTGCCAATTCACTCCTAGCGGACCAGATCCCAATGCCTGCCAAGCAGGGGTGGGGTGAGCATGGTTTCAGCTACTTTCCTCTTAAACCTGAGAGGGCATACAAGCTCCTGGGCCTACAAACTCCATTCAATTGCTCCGTAGCCAGACCTCCCAAAGGTTCAGAGCTGTTTGTGCTGGCGAACCAGGAAGCCACGTCTATGCAATTTTTTGCTGCTAATGCTGAATCAGGAAGATCTCTCTTAAAGGAGCCATGACACCCCTGCTCACTTCTAGCAAAGACAGCCCATCTGAAAAAAAAAAATGTGACTTCCAAGAAATTGCACTGAAGTCTGTTCTTTTTGTCTAGAATTCATTTTGTAGCTCTCTCGGTTTTATGTGGATTTAGCTGTACATGTTGGGGACCATCTGTAGATGGAGGCTGGTTATTCATTCCAGGTTTTCAAGACCTGAAGTAATCACACAAAACTATATTATTTGCAATACTGTTTGGCCAGGCTTAAGTGTATTGCTAGCTACAACTTATATCTTAAAGTATTCCATTTCTTTTAACCTGAGTATTACCACATGGTTGTGACCTACCTACTGGTAAGGTTCTGTCTTGCATCTGTCTTCTGTGTCTGCCTCTTGTGGTGGCTCCACATATTCTCCTTGACTCTGCCTACTCACTCCTCTTTCTGCTTGGAATTCCTGCCTTGCCCTATTCTGCTAAGCTGCTGGCTAAAACAGCTTTATTCATTAACCAATAAAAGCAGCCCTTATACAGAAATATTTCCCACAGCAGTATGTTGGAACCAGAACTCCTATAGTAAAAAGAAATGTTATCATGTACAGCTTTGCTATTTGTAGCAAATAGCACCTATCAGTAAGATAAAGTAACCTGAAAGAAGGGCAACACCTGTGGAGAATTTTCTGTACACTGAAACTTTGGCCCATCTTGTTAAATTCCCCCTCAATTCCAAGCATTACTCTTCTGAGCACTAAGTAACACTGAAGTTGGGTGATGAATAAATAAAAGAGCTGTGATAAAAATATAAAAGCTTTACCAATTTTTCACAGTCTTTTTGTCTTTTTTTGTATATTAACATTTTTTCATACATTTTGTCATGATTAGGGGAGAAACTCAAGATGTTCTACCCCTTTCTGAAGGACTACTAGCAGTGTATGGTTCTGAGGGAAAGGGTGTCATTTTTTGATTGCTACAACCATTGGTAATTTGCCCTTGCTCCAGTAAATAATTTCCCTCCCATGCTGTGGAAAGAAACTAATTAAGCTTAAGGAGTCCACATGCGACACAAGACGTGCAAATAGAAAGGAGTTTGCTGGGAAGAAAGATTTCAGCAGAAAAACGAGAAAGATGAGAAAGAGAAATGGATTGGATAAAAATGGCTGAAATTCATTAATTGGAGCTACGCAAATCATATGTTGATTCCATATTGTAATCATTAATATAATTTTGGAAGGTTCAACAAAGAAATTCAATGCCACATGCTAAATGCCATGTATCAAAGCAAACCAATCATTCTAAAGAAATTGACCAGTTCCTCATTTACAGGTATGCAGCTATTAACCCTTTGATAAGGAAGATATATCTAATCCCTGAGATGGGCAGACATGTTATTGTATGCTTGGAGCTCAACACCATTGCTGATGTATTTTTCAAAGCTATAGTAAAAGATCTAAGAAAGAGAGCAGGCGCAGAGGGAGTGAGTGTTCAGATGGTTATTTTACTTACTTTGCTCTTAGTGGAAAATTCATTTGTGATTGTTCTGAGAATGCCTTTTAACATGGAAAATGCTGTCTTTCAGTGAGTAAGAAAAATGTTCATGGGAATAATTTGGAAGAATTACACTCATGTCTTCTACTAGCAGAAAAGGGATTGTGGCAAATGTGTACTTTAAATAAAGACAGAATAGAAACACAGTGACTAAGATTCTAAAATTACCTTTGATGAAATCTCTCTTCATGCTACTGAAGAATTTTTCTTCATGAATTAAAATATGCTAAATTTAGACATTAAAAAGTTGTGTCCATTTCAAATTACCAAGAAAGTTCAATTGCTTTGGACAAAATACATTTTACTTTTCTTTTCAACATACCTACGGAGATCATGTAATATTATACAGTAAAAATCAGAAAGCAACCTAAAAGATTAGTGTTGATTATTTCTATAAAATAAGAACATTGTCCAAAAATAATAAAGTGAGCTCATATAATTAACAGTATTTTAAAAGCTAAAACTACAGATTCAGAAAGACATTTACTCAAGCCTTTGTCCTGCCTCTTAGTTTCATTATAAAATGAACATAACGGTACCTGTTTAAAAGTAGTAATCAGGATTAGATGTACACATATTATTTGAAAGATATCATTTTACATAATAAATATTTAGCATATTCTAGTAAATATAAAACTGTAAAGCAAGAGAGTTGTATGGGCCCAATATAAAACTGTATTTTTTACTATTTTCTAAATTATATCATGACCATTTGTTGATAATCCTGAAGCTGTATAAGACAATTATAAATATTATTTTTTATTCAAAGTTAGAAAACAAGCAGTATGTATCTATTTCACTTAACCCGAATAAATTTACACTGCAGTGGGATATGAAATAAAGAATTTCCATTATTCATGCAGTACTGGCAACTAAGTGATTACTTAAAAATGATTAAAATAAGCTGATTAATGCACTGAATTTTACATGATACATTTTGTTTTTAAGATGTGCTGTAGTTTCTATGAGTCACACACTTCTTTAAAGAAGCTATTCTATGAAGTAAATGGGGTTTTACAAACTCGTTCCTTATGGATTGGTTGAATAGAGAAGACCTCAAAAGCCAGTAAGTTTATAGGAAAGAGTGGATAATCAGATGCCTTTATTTGTTTCAGATTTTCAGACGATGTTGGTTGGTTTTTAAGAAGGCTTCTAGCAAGGGACCCAGAAGGCTAGAAAAATTTCCAGATGAAAAGGCAGCTTATTTCAGAAACTTTCACAAGGTAAGTCACACATGTAGAGGTCCCTGGGGAACAGCTGGGCTCTTGACAACTTGTGGAGACATTTCTTTGATGAATGAAATCTACAGAGGGAAAAATTCATAGCCAGGATAAAATGCTCCTGTTCTGATAAAATGTAAAAGTTATTTTTCTTTCTTATCTTAATCATCTGCTGTAAATCCAAGTTATACTTCTGCAAACTGGAAAGCTCATTTTTATGGCGACTTTGCAAAATTAGATGAGTCATAACTCAACTAGATCCATTCTAAGGTGCTGAGTGGGTACTTTTCTCCTGTTCAGGTTAATTGTGCATTTGCTGCTCTGATTTAAACGATAGCAGTATTTAAGAAATGACGTTTATCAGACAAGCTTTAGCAATGTTAATATAGATAGCATTAGCTGTTTACTCAGCACATTAACAAGAAATGATCATTAAATATGCTGGTATGTAGATGCTGCATAAATTCCAGGAATAAACTATAAGCTTCATAATAACTGAAAGAATATACAATATGACCTTCACATAGCCATAAACATGTGGCCTTAATTTATCTTTGGTGATAATTTCATACCACTGTACCCAGAAGTGTGGAATTGTATAGCCTGCATACCGCTGCTTGCAAAAGCTCAATACAAATTCTAATTCCTCATTAGCAACTTACACAGTGACTCATAGAGCATAAGTGACCTCAGATGATGTAATGAATTTGTAGTATTTTATTTTACATGATATACAGTTTTATTTTATTCCATTTTGTTAACTATATGTTACTTGACATACAGTTAATAAGCTATATAATCCAACTATGAAAAGACTACCAACCATATATTTACATCTAAATATGGTCAGATAGCCTAAAACTGAAGTTGTTGTAATCTTTGTCAGGTATTTTACATGTTGATATTGATCTACTACCAGAAAAATAATGTTTGATTTTCTGCTCAATAATTTACTAGCTTATGGACATTTTGGTTTTCTTGTTAGTGAATAGATTTTAACAGTTGCATTGCATGTCTCTAATGACAATTTGAGTGGGTATTTCATAAAATGGCCAATATAATTCTGCCTATTTTGATCATATAAAAAAGGATTTGCATACTAAAATTTCACTGGTGCTGTGTATCATTAAGATCAGCCATGTTTTTAAAACCCTTAAAGCAGACTTAAGAATAAGTGGCAAGCAGTGAATTAAATATAAAGCCATAACGTTCATTTTTATGCTTTTAGAAAGAGGCTTACTATTTAGCCCAGGATAGTCTCAAAAGATTGGCAATCTTCCTATCTTAGGTCCTAATTTCAGGAATTATAGACTTGAACCATCATAGCTGACTCATATTTTCTTTACAAGAAAAATTGTGGAGGGCTGAACATTTTATATGTTCCATAAAATTTTGGCTAGAACTTTTCATGGTGATTTGAATAGCATATCACCCATATTCTTTAGTTTTTAAGTATTGGGCCCAAGACTGTTTGCAGAGTCTGTGGTGGTTTGAATGAAAATGGTCCCAATAGATTCATAAGGAGTGGCATTGTTTGGAAGTATTAGGATATGTGGTTTTGTTGGAGTAGATGTGGCCTTGTCAGAGGAAGTGTGTCATTAGACATGGACTTTGACGTTTCAAAAACTCAAGTCAGCACCAGTGTCTGCCTGCCAATCCAGATGTAGAACTCTCAGCTGCTTCTCCAGCACCATGTCTGACTGCTTGCTGCCATACTTCCCACTATGACAATGGACTAAACCTCTAAACTGCAAGACATGTTCAGTTAAATGTTTTCTTTTATAGGAATTGTGGTAGTCTTAGTGTCTCTTCACAGCAATAGAACCCCTGATTACACAGAACCTCAGGGGATGTGGCCTCATTGGAAGATATATGTCATTCGTGTTCAACTTTGAGATTTAAAGATATCATTTCCAATTAACTCTTTTTGCTCTTTGCTTGCAGTTCAAGATGTAAGTTGTTAACTTCCATGTCTGTCCATTGTGTCTCTGTTCCATCATCTTGAACTCTAATCCCTCTGGATTTGTAACCCCAAATAAAGTATTTCTTCTGTAAGAGTCCTTGAGTTTTATCAAACCAATAGAAGAGTAACTGGTGCAACCTTGCTGCTCAGCAGTGCCACGCATTGGTTGACACTCCAGTTAATACAATGCTGTTTTCCCCCCAAATAAAACAAGCAAAATGCTTAGCAAGACATGGTTTAATTTATCATTTTTATATGAAAACAATACATCTTTTCTAGGATTTCAACTGTAGACTGGTAATTTGGTGACAAATACATATTGAATGTCTGCTCTATACCAGGTACTCTATTCATGACTTGGGATGTAAGGTTGCATAAGACAAAAATATTGTCCCATAAGCTTGAATCTTACTGCAGACAAAATGCATACACACATAACATGGCAAGGAGAGTTATAGAACTATGTATTTCCTATAATTTAGAATTCAAGTTGATTTTGTAACAAAGATAACACTTGAATGATTCGAGAAAGGGTGTCTATCATTTATTGATGAGTGGTCATCTCTAGAAGAAATCTAAATTAGTTCTCCTCCTTGCTTATCTTGTTGTTGTCTTGTTTTACTTGTTTATTATGCTTTTGGTCTCTTGTTCCTTAATTGTTAGTGTTACATGTATGTAACCATATCCTAAGTTTTTTTTAGTGTTGCTTATATGTATCTGTGGTTGAGGTTGACTTTTGGGGGCTTGGATAAGCTGTCAGGAACTTGTTCCTGGAACAAACGAAGTCTTTCTCTCTTAGCAGTCATTAATTGACCATAATTCTTTATCTGGGGGTACAGCCTTATTTTATTCTTGAGATCATATTTTATTATGCAGCCCAAGCTGGCTGTGAACTTGGGGTTCTCTCAATTCAGCTACTCAGGTGTAGAAATTATAGTCATGAATCATCAACCTGACACTTCTCATTTCATATAATATGAATTTCCAACTTTAATCTCTTCTTATACTACAGTAGCAATCATGTGCTCTCTATAGGAGTGTTCAGGGATAAAGAATGTGCTTTCTGGGATTTGTCTTGGACACTGCATATTGAAAATCTCTTCGTTTCCACTGTGAATGGTCAGCTTGCAAAAAAAAATTCAGTCTTTGAAATATCCTGCCTGTCAGCCTGATCTAGAATTCAGATTCATTATTTGTATGATTTTATAGACCTTCTTAAATATGTACTATTTTTTTCTTCACTGGGGATTCAGTGGTGGAGAAAAATTATTAAATGCTACATCTGTTTACCATTGTTCTTAAGCTTAAATGACAAGGAAAGTGCTATGAAATCGAGTATTTTACTGTAAAAGAAAATGAGAATAAAAAATAAACTGCTGCAGCTTGGTGAGACAAAGATGAAGTATTACAAGGAGCAGCCTCAAAGAATATCAAAGATGAAGCAGATCATTTCATAATTGAAGACAAAAACACCTGATACAAGAGATTGAGGTAGAAATCCTTGGTATGCTTAAGAACAAAAAGACTGAGCCAAAATATGGAAGAAGAGATTCAAAATAAATCAACAAACAACTGGCAAATATTCTGTAAGTGATGGAAATAATAGGGATATAAACAGGAAAGTGTATCATAACTGCTATGATCAAATGTCTATTTTTCCTTCCATCTCCTCTCTATAAAACAGTAATCTGTAACTATATATTCCTCCCACAAACATCAAACCACAAAATCACAAAATACAAAATAACATTGGTCTCTTAACAAAACACTTTGTTTGTAATAGAGAGTCAAATGATTTGCCAAAACAAAATGCACCCCTTTATACCAGGGGGAGCTGCAGTCATAGTAATTGCCCTGGCCCTGGCAGACTCCCACTCACCGGAACACTACAAAGCCTAAGGAAAGTAGCTGGCACTGATTATGGTGGGCTATCAGAGAGTAAGGAAGACACACTTCAAAGAGAAATTCAGAAGATACTGTTAATGATATACACACACTCAGTACAGGTCTTGGGTGACAGCGATGGGGTCTGGCAAACTAGCATCACCTCGTAGCTGAGGCTTGAGTATCCTGCCTTAAGCATGAGCCACCCACAGATCACCACAGATATAGCTTTAACAATACAGTCTAAGGGAGTAAATCACAGCAAAACATTTTCAAAGCAAAAAATATAATATAGAGTTTACTCATGACAGTCACTATGCTGATGATAAAATTATAAATGCTGGAGGGTGAACCATGGAAAGGACACACCATGCAGTGAGAGTGGGAAAAAAATCAACAAATGGTAAACCTGAAATGACACGTTTTCTGAATGGTTCAACAGGAATCTTACATTTAATGTTTTATTTAACTATTTTCTTTTACAATAATTGGTCCTTACATTTATTTGTTTTAGTGTTTTAACTGAGATAGAATTATATCCCTTTCACCTATCAGCATCTTCCTTTCTATCCTGCAGCTCCTACCAACTACCTTCTCTCAAATCTCTTCCATTCCCCTCTTTAAAGTGATAGCCCCCTTTTATTTCTAATAACCATTGTCAGTAGTATCCTAATTTCAAAAAAGACAAATATTTTGAAAGAAAACTATGAACATTTTCTGTAAATCCAAAATTTTTAGCAAACTATTAACATATCTAATTAGAAATATATGACAACAAGAAGACACCATAAAGAGCAGGTTGTTTTGTTTGAAATTTAATGGAATAATTAGCAATAGAAGATAAAAAAAATCATCACAGGACCATTTAAAGAAATACAGAGAAAAAGCTTTTCTCAGAATTCAACCTGCATTGATCATGCACAGCTCTCAATAAGCCAAGACGAGAGCAAACATCAACAATTTGGAAAGAACTAACGTAAACTTCCCATAGAAAAGGAAAAAAGTTTTCTATTCTTTGATGGCATAATTATTTGTTGTAAATGCCTGTCAAACTAGAAATACAGAGCCAATAAATTTTAGTGAACAATAGACATGGAAATTTTAGTGTATAAAACTCAATGCATTTTTTCACATAGTGGCATTTGGCACTTGGCAA